GAGAGAGAGAGAGAGAGAGAGAGAAAAGAAAGAGAGAGGGGGAGGGGGGTGCTACAATTGTTTACCCCTCCACCATATATTGCCGGAACCAGTGCCAGGAAAATACAGATAGACCTCCCAGTGAGTTGAAAAAATGTGAGGCATCGTGGTGGAATCAGGCTCTCGTCAAAATAATCAAAGTGAAAAAACTTGCATTTTTCCGCAGGTTTGTGAATTTTTATCAAATTTTTGTTTTTTGGCTTATCACATTTCATGCACATTAAAAAAACTTGTTTCAGTGTGAATTTTTATGAAAAACGTTGATTAAAGGCACAAAAAAGTAGATTTTCAGTTACCACGGACTCTTAGGCTAAGGACATAACTAATCTTTGGCGGCCATTTTCTCACTCATTTTACTTCTGAAAACAAGTGACCCCAACCTCCTTCTTTCCCAAATATTTCGACTTGTATTCAAGATAAATGGATATTTTTTTCATCGAAATAATAATAATAATAATAGATAGCATTTGTATAGCGCATATCCCCGCTCAGCAGCAGGCTCTATGCGCTTTACGCTATATTATTACCCTAGCAGACCATAGAACACTCCGAAACATTCTCAGCTTCCCGGGAAATAAAGACAAGTGAACAAGCTTTAAGATGGTACCAATAACTCTACATGCCCAAAAATTGACGAGAGGCTGATTCCACCACGCTGCCTCACAAAGTATTTGTTTACCTTCCTTCCTAGACATTCTCACAAGAGAATCATCTATTATCTTTTGATATTTTAGGTATTTCTGGAACAATGTTCAGCATGTCATGCTTCCAAGTGAGGTGACGTACATGCAGGGAGGTGGTCCGTGGTTGGTGGGGTGGGTGGGGAAGGAATCTTCTATTTGTCGACATGTTTGCGATAAAGGACAACAGGTGTTTCTAGAAGTTGTTGGGACTCGGTGGAGTTTGCTTAAACCTATCCGTACGTCGTGTTTTACTATCCTATCCGTACGTCGTGTTTTACTTTCGTATCCATACGACATTTGGAAACTCTGTGCCACCACTCAACCCTATCCATACGTCGTGTTTTACTATCGTATCCAAACGACGTGGGGAACTCTGTGCCACCACTAAACCCTATCCGTACGTCGTGTTTTACTATCGTATCCATACGGTATTTGGAAACTCTGTGCCACCACTTAACCTTATCCGCACGTCGTGTTTTACTATCGTATCCATACGACGTGGGGAACTCTGTGCCACCACTTTCCA